TAATATTTTCTATTTTTCCCTCTGAAAAGATGGGAGAAATATCTTTCCTTGTCAAGGACCTACATATTAGAAGATTTTAAGATTATAAGAGGTAATGAAATTGCTTGGCTGGATTGTCAAAATAAAAAAGGTTCAACAAACTTATAAACATATATTTAAATTGATAAGTCTAAAAAAGATAGTTTCCCACTGATTTACAAAGTGGCTTTTCCCAGAAAAGTGGGTACTAAACCAAAAAACTTGTAATGGAAGTTATAGCTCTAGGACACTATAATTCTTTATCAAATTATACTTGTTTTCACTCTATAAGAGATGTTTAGCAAGTCTTTTGCAGCCAACGTCTTGAATGTTCATCTCAAAAATTCTTTTCTGTGGACTTGGTCTCTCATTGCTCTTTTCTCAGAGGAGGATTTATCCCGTCTCTGCTTAGAAGAATTTTGTTTTGTTTTTTAATGGCCGTTAAAATTTACCCATTATTTCCAGGAATGGTAGAGTCAGTAGGTCAGAATAACCCCCCCCCACTGTGAATAATTAGTGAAGCTGGACGAGATAGAAACAAACAAGCAAACACCAGCTCTCTGAAGACGCTGATACGACGGTGGATTGTGGGAGGAGGAGAAACACTCAGACGTGGCCAGCATCTGAGGCCTGTTTTCCCCTGGGGACAGTTGGCGTCACAGAGATAGAAGCCCAACTTCAAATCATCTCCATTCCTGGTAGGAGGATACATCAAAAATAACCAGGCATATTAGAGGAACATATGACTGAAAACTAAGACAAACAACAGATAATGAGGACAGAAACTAAGGGGAACCAGAAAATGGAGTTATCAGATATAGACTACAAAATAAATATGCTAATTATGCTCAAAGAAATAAAAGACGAGGCCAATAATTTTGGCAAAGAACTGGAAATGACTAAAAAAATCCAATAGAATTACAAGAACTGAAAAATATAATAAATGAAATTTTAAAACTCAATATATAGGTTTATCATCAGAATAGACGTAGAAAGAGGGAAAGGTGAAATGGAAAAGAAGGCAATAGAGAATATCCAGAATGAAATAAGGAGGCAGCAAAGCATGGAAATACAGAAAAGTCAGGAGGGAGGGGGCATAGAAGGCAAAGATGACACTTGTAATTGAATTCCTAGGAGTGGAAGAAAGAGAAGTGAGAATTCTACGAAGCAGATCAAAGGCATGACGTCCTGCTGCCCTGCAGCAGGCCAACGACAAAAACAACACTCACAAGAACACTACAGAAAACCAAGGAGAGAACAATCTACTGAGAACCTGCCTGGGCTGACGTCAGCATCTCTTTCTGGACGCACCAGCACGCGTTCCCAGGCCATACCTTCCACCAGGACAGTGGTCCCTATCCACAAGCTCCACGCTTCCCCATCCTTCTGACCACTGCATCTTCTACCTTCCACCCTCCACATTACATAGAACTCAGGATTAACTGCTCTCATCAGGCCTGCTCTGCAGGGCTGTCCAGAGAGGACATTACCTGTACATGCTGTTTCAAGTTTAAGATTAAAAAAAAAAGATCATTAGGGTCATGAGACACATCTGAGCTTCAAACCATTTTCATAACTAGAGAAACAGCATGGAGGGTAGCTCCCACGTGAAAACACAAACATGCGGATCCTATACTCTAGACATCAGTGTTCTCCATTTCAGTGGAGGCTTGTGCTTTAATAATAGCTGATGAAAGATATTTCCTGTAAACTTGCTTTTTTTCAACATTAAAATTCAATTATGAGATTTTTTTTTAGGAAATGGCAACAATTTTTGTGCTTGACAGACTCCAATCCCCTCATATATACTTATATATAAAAACATGACTGTGTTAAAAAGTCTCAAACTTCAGTTTAACACTACTTGTCTTGAAATCTAATAAGGAACAAAAACAAGAGGTAAGACCTCAGTTTCGGGGGGAAAAAAGGGAATGACTGAGATACTGTCATAACCCTTAAGAGTAACATTGTATTTGTAAATTAGCGATCAGAAACTTCTGTTTAATTTAACAACGCAATCCTTCTACAACTCCTCCAACAGTAGACTTTCACTACCAGGCAACTAAATTTAGTGCTTTTGTTGACTCACTACAACATATGGTATCAGTATAAACTCCTCTCACATCCACACTCAAAGATCTGAAAGTGCGAGGAAGCTATATCTTTAAAATCTAAAATTGCATTTGAAGAAATGTTTATCGTTCTTCGTTTTAACCTGTACAAAAATAAAGCACGGCCATTCATCTCCCTATATTGCTATCTAAATTTGCACTTCTAAAACACTTAACCCAGTAGCAAACAAATCAGGATTTTAAGCTTTTGTCCTCGTTAGAGTCTAAACAATGAAATTAGTTTACATGAAAAGTGTTTAGAAACAAAACTTTTTCCAGGATAAATTATTTGTTTAAACTACACTAGACAAAGTCCCTAAGGCAAAAAAGTGTTTTCCAAACTTTGCTTCACATTAGAATCACCTCAGGAGTTTTTAAAAATCCTGTGCCCAGTGTGCACCCCACAGTGACGACAGTAGAATGTCTGGGAATGCAAGCCAGGCATCTGTATAGATACAAATCCCCAGGTGCTGCAACGTGCAACCAAGTTGGGAACCACTGTCCTAAGGTGTTACAAGTGTTTGATTCATGAGGGAAAAGGCTGTGTCGTGAATGGGATAAGAAATGGATTAGGAAGATCGTCACGTGAAAGACAGGAGATCTGGGTTCTCAGCCCGTCTGCTATGAGCAAGATGGGACACCTAGGGTGAATTATGTCCCCTCTCTGAGTGCTCGTGTCCTTCCTGTAAAGAAGGGGATTGTACGGGATAGGTGGCTTTCAGAAGCTGGTTGGTAGCTCATTGCTATGACACACACATGTCCTGGGAATGCTGACCCAGAGGGTCTCAAGTAGGACTGAGAATCTGCGTATTTCAAAAGTCCTCCAGGTAATTACTCCATGCAGAACCAGAAGTGATCGATCCCTTTCAGCACTGATACTCTATTATTCTAAATGATGAGGGCAGAAAGTTTACTAATACATTTAAAAGACTTTCCAAACAAGAGTTAAGACAAATTTGAGCAAGTCTCATAATTAAATTTGTTACGTTATTTTTGTTCCTGAGCACGTTGGTTGAGGGTAGATACGTATGTGTGCATATACATATTATTTTGTATTTTGTTTTCCTTTTAGGCCATTTTTTTTCTTAGTATTCATGACAGTGATACCACCTTATACTACATATTTGTGCAGCACTTATTGCTTGACCCATAGAATAAGGCTGGGAGGTAAGTCAAACAGGTATTGTTCTCTCATTTAAGGCGAGATGCTTCATGAGAAAGAAGCGACAGTGTTCCCACCCAGGATACGTGTCTCTAACCCAGTGTTCTACAGACCCAGCTCATCAGGTAGAGGGTATGGTCAGGTAGAAGCCAGGCAAGGTCAAATGTCTGAAAGATTATTGTCTACAGCGGGCAAATGAGAAAGTTAAACCTCATGCTGTGATCAGGCAGGGTAGAGTCTTTATAGTAACAAATAACTCAACATTTACTGGGCACTTTTTTTTTTTTAATGCAGGCATAATACCAAGCACTGGAACAATAGAGACGAGTAGGTCCAACTGCTTCCCTAAGAAGATACCCACGGGAAGGCAGAAAGTGGGAAACAATATCATCAAGCGCAGAGATCCAAAGCAGAGGTGCTCATAGACCCTCTTGGAATACATCAGAAGGAGCAGGACATAAATAATAGTGCATGTTTAATAAATATTGATTGAATGAATGCCAAAAAAGGTTTTTTTTCTTTATTTTTTTCCAAAGGCAAAAGGTTAAGTGGCTGTGCAGCAATTAGGGAGAAGACTGGGACACAGGGAAACAAAATAGAAATGTAAGCACAGGTCCCCAGTTCTCTACAAAGCCACAATCACTGGGATGTGTTGGGGCAGGTACAAAAAGTGTTAACAGACTCAGCGACAGTCGCTACAATCAGAACACAGAAGCCAGAGCCTTGGAGAGACCTTGACAATTTCTCTTCCCGCAAACCGGTTGCTCTATCTGAAATGTGGTTTCTTTCCATTTTTTCGCTCCATTTTTTTCTGAGACAAACCAGAAAGCATCAGTAAAGAAATCTTAGTTTCTACAAGTTACAACAGACATTCCTGGAATCTGTGTAATTTTAAACTTCTTGGTTAAAATATAAGGAGGTGTCACGTTTCTCTTCCTCAGGTAGATGCAGCCGCTCATCTGCTCGGGACTGCCATCAGGAGCTGGATGCCCCAGTGTGGACTCTGCTGTCACTGCTCTCCTTTTCCACTTGCTATTTGTCAGTACAGTTTTCCTATCATTTGGAATTCAGGATTCACTATATTATACTTCCTTGGCCTCATGAAAATGAAACACGAGATAAGGAGGAGCTCGTTTTAAATTTAAGCAATGAGAGCAGACGTTGAAGAATCAAAAAAATTTCAAATCCTCCTTGCATTATTCACGTAAGCCTACAGTGTGATGAGAGAGCTGCAGTTTGAGAGGCAGAGCTAGGTTCCAAAGCTGAAGCACAAAGAAATGGGTATTCCTGCGAGTCAGTATGAAAACCTTTCTCTCTGATGGCTTGAGGTCAAACCTAGATTAGCTCACAAACAAAAGATGTTTGGGTCCTTCACCTCCTACCTAGTGAATGTTTATTCAGATTATAAAACAACAACAATTGCTGGCACCATCAACATTCTCTGCTCGAGAGGAGCTGTTGGCATTTTTACAAGCAAGAAATGCACTGGCAAAGCGGTGAGAGAAAGCTTGTTCCATCAAAAGTAACTCTCTGTCCTGGATGTGACCAATGCTCTCAGTTTTATGGTCAGAGTTTTCCAACATCCACCCATAATTAATTTTTTAAGTAAAATACAAGTTGGACAGACGAGTTTATGTTTCATTAACCCGGAGAAGAACATTATGATGTAGTAGCACGGAAAGTTTAAAATAATATTTTCACGCACCAACCTTTTGGCCTTTCCCTCTTTTCTTTGATTCCTCATGAGGTCTGATGAGGTCCTTAAAGCCTTCGCATGAGCCATCTAAAATGTCACGCCTTGTTGGTCCATTTTTAACACCTAAAACCCAAGTGGAATGAAGATTAGTTAGAACTTTACATGGACTGAACACTAATGCAACTTCAGCAAAACAAAAATTTTAAAACTACACTTATTTACGCATACTAGTTTAATACAAAGTGTAGTCCTTCCAAACAAACACTGCATACTTCTTGCTCCGTGAGATCTATTTAGAACTTCCAATTCACTCCACTCTAATATCCCAAGCAATTCACTCAACTCAATGGTCATAAACAATTTTGCCTGTCAGGTGACAATACACTAGCTCTGTAGTATCCCGTATGTCCGTTGATGATGCAGGAAAACTTGCCTCTACCTTATGCACTATTCAAACTTCAATTCTTAGATTTTTTTTAAGTTTTATCTTTGACATTTCTCTTTATTCTAGGTGGAAGTGTTTTGTTTTTTTTTTGCTGAGAAAGATTTGCCCTGAGCTGTTGCCAATCATCCTTTTTTTTTCCTCCCCAAAGCCCCAGTGCATAGTTATATATTCTAGTTGTAAGTCCTTCTAGTTCTTGTATGTGAGCTGCCACCAAAACATGGCTACTGACAGATAAGTGGTGTGGTTCTGCACCCAGGAACCGAACCCAGGCCACCGAAGGGCCTGGGCCACCAAAGTGGAGTACACCAAACTTGAACCGCTAGGCCATCAGGGCTGGCTCCTTAGATTTTTACATAATGACCAAAACTCAGCTCCTCAGAGAAGGCAGCTCTATATTAGAGGAAATAAGTAATCTTAGCTTTGGGGTCAGTATGAGTTTTTCTAGAAAACAGTCTTCAGTACAAAGCTTCAGGTTTCCATCTACAAACGATAGATGGTGATTCTACTCCCCACAAATTTCCACCTTAGACTAGCATCTTGCCCTGAAGACACACAAACCAAAAAGAAGATACTCATCAAGTGAAACAAGGTTTCATTAGATGCTAAACGGTGTAGACATCCTAAGTAACCGGCAATGAAGTGTGAAATGTGTACTCTGAATTGACTCACCTACTGCTACTGCCTATGCAGTGCTCCTTACTCTCACTCTTCCTTCCCTAAAAATATCTAATGATCAGGGCTACCCACTGGAGATGCAAAGATGCACAAAGATTGTCCCCCCCGTTAGGGAGCTCACAACCCAACAGACAAAGTAGACATAGACAAATGAATATAATACAAGGCAAAAATAATCTAAGTGCTATCAAAAATTAAAAATCATATAACATGAGTATGACTGCTTTGCAGATATTTCAAATAAAATAGGATACTATGATAAAATCAGATATAACTAAGTTTGGAGGGTCTGATTTGAAAATTTTAACTTTTTTCAAAAACTGGGTTCTATCTAAGTGAAAAAAATACAAAACAACAATGGTTAAATATTTTCTTGAATTCAAACTAGTTGTTATTTGCAACCTGTGCTCTAGAAATGTTTTAAAGGTCAAGTTCTAAACCAAGAACCAACACTCTTGGCCTATAAACCCTAATACTGGATCCCTTTGGAGGCTCAAACCAATCATAGGCTGACCCCACTATCTCCTCAGCAATATTTTATATTTAACTTGTACTTCAGTTCTCTCCCAGTCCTACTTCAGTCCCAGATGAATACCCAACCCTGGTGATCGCCCCAGTGATAGCTAAATAAAGACCTTATTTGGAGGAGATGGGTTAGCAGGCCATGTGAAAGGGTATTCTGCCGTTTATTCTAGGATCAAAATCTTTGTTATGCTAAGTTTCTCACTTTTACTCACTTTGAAGGTGAGAATATCTATCTATCATCTATGCATTAGATTCCACTACATAAAACGACTTTTTGTGTGTGTGAGGAAGATCGGCCCCGAGCTAACATCTGCCAATCCTCCTCCTTTTTGCTGAGGAAGACTGGCCCTGGGCTAACATCCATGCCCATCTTCCTCCACTTTACATGGGACGCTGCCACAGCATGACTTGACAAGCTGTGCGTCCGTGCGCGCCCGGGATCCGAACCGGCAAACCCCGGGCTGCCACAGCAGAGCGGGGGCACTTAACCGCTTGCGCCACCGGGCCGGCCCCTAAAACAACTTCCTTTTGAAATTGCTGAGAACTCCTAACCCTCAGGCAGGATAAGGATGCAATCTGTTTTTTCATCTTTAAGATCTAAGATTTAAAGTGGTTAAAAGATTAGAATATTAATTGTACTGATTATGCATTTAATTTCCTTTTTAAATAAATGTTTACTTAAAGCAAGAGTATATAAAATAAGAAAAGCAGTGGACTAAAGATATAACTTGGGATCCAGTGCTCTCCACTACTGAACTATGAATAAGTTTGCAGCTTCCTAGTGTATCTATATCAAAAACGGTTCTAGAACAGCCACTTGCCTGAGGTCTTGCTGAGAACAATGAAATAGGTTGTAAAGCATTTTGTAAACATAAAGCAATAGAAAATGCAACATAACCTTTTAAAACTTAAGAAAGACTGATATTGCTAATGATACGTTTTCACAACTTCACAAATCACACAGTCACAAAATGATATAAGTAAATGATTTCTTATATGGTTATGTTAAAACAGCATTTTACAAACTCAGCTACTATGTTTCTTTAACGATGTTATTAGTAAACCAAAAGCAGCTCAAAGTGCGAAGGTAATTCTGAAAGCACTTGCTAGAAAGCAGCCAGATTTCATGCCTTGCCATAGCTTGGTAACAAACATGCACTGCCCATCTTCCTGATTCTCCCACCTCTAGATGACTCTTGCTATGTGTGCCTCCGAAGTGCTGCAGTTTCTCAGGGTTATCATCAGCTCTCTTCTCACTCCCCAAGGGTGATTTCATCATGTCCCATGAAGTCATCCCTTACTGAAGAGTCCTAATTCGATGTCTCTTGCCAAGACCTCCCAGCTGAGGTATGGCTGTTCAGATCCAACTACCTAATGGACATCTATTTTGAATGTCTCAGAGAAATTTCAACTACCATGCCCTCGGTCCACCCTGTAGCTGTTCTTCCTTCAACAGATTCCAGCTTGATGAATTTTATCAACCATCTACCTATCAGTCCTAAGTCCTAGACTCCTTTCTTGCCCCTCATTCTAACTTCATCATACAAGTGATCCATTGTCTTCAAAAAATGATCAAATACAGAGAGAAAAGAACCTCAGAGCCCCCAGAATTTTTATCATTGTTATATTCCCTGAAATTTCACCAGTTAGAAATTTGTTTGGGTTAACAATATCAACAAAATACAAACACACTGAGGAAGGTTAGAAAGTGACTCACTCACCTCTCACTACCTTCATTCAGCCAACAGACATAAGCAGGAGAAAGAAAACGTTTTGATACTGAGGGAAGACCACTTTGGAAGCAGAACCAGGCTAAGACAGCATAAGAAGATACATAATTTAGATGCTAGGAAAGGGAGAGAGAGAAAGAAATAGATGCAGAGAAAACCATTAAATTTCTTAAGAGAAACTTGGTCCATGTCAGAATTTCGTCCAGGGTAGGGGCCTAAGAAATAAACTTATTTCCAACATCTATCCTCCTGCACGTCCTACTTTCCTACTTCCAAGACACAGAATTAAAAACTAATAACACTAGTACTAATAATACATTTAAGCAATTAATATTTATTCGTACAAGGCACTCTGCAAGATAGACTGCATCAAAGATGAAAAAGGCTTCTGAAGACTGATCTACGAATCCATAATTCTAACACATAGAAGCATATACAAAATTTTAACATTATCCCAATGGGAAATTTCTTCTTAGCCCCCAAAATCTGAATAATGAAGTATTTAAGGATAATGTAGAATCCAGAATCTGAAGACTGTGGAGCACCTTAAAAGACACCTAAGAAAAACTCCTTTCCATATATACTTTTAGGACTTGGGGATGTGTGCAAGTTACACACAGGTTCTATACAAGCAAAATTCAGTTAATAAAAAACTATATATGCATATATACGTATTTATCATCTGATAAGATGTCAAGTTCACTTGGTTAACTACAAACAAAAATAAAATCTAATCATGATCTTCAATAGATGAGGCAGAATTTTTTCCTTTATAATCATTGTAGAGAATTAAAATATGGATTTTAAATATGTAAATTAGTTGGGAGTGCTCTCTCCCTCTTTTGAATTTCCGGATACTTGTATATGGATTATTATCTTGACTGTATCTTCCCTACTTGCCTAAGCTCCTTAAGTGAAAGGGACAGAACTTTCCATCAACCTTATCTCCCTTGTGTTTATCCCAATACCTGGTACATAGTAGGTGCAGAGTAAACAAATGATTAATGAAAAATGAATGAATAAATTAAAGAACAAATCAACCAATCAAATAACCAATAGGTTGTAACACCTTCCTTGTAGTCAGCCTCCCTGCTAAGGCTGACTAACCTACGTCGAGCTGTCAAGATTGCCTACCTCCAGTGAGTGGACTGGCAGGTTCTGGGGAAGAGGGTTGAAACACTCTTCTGAAAACACTGTGTATTACTTGAATTGTCAAAAAGTGCAATAATTACTCTTCAATTCAAAATATTTAAGGAATACATATACACGTATATCAATTGCTACAACAGTAATTTATACTTTCTCTTGAATGAAGAAACACTCAGAATATACAAAATATTCTATATTGAATAAGAATATCTAAGTGCCTATGATTGGATGGGCTTAGTTCTTATACAACAATATAAATTAATTTTAATTAATTCAATTTTAAAAATGGTATGTCTCCTGATAATTTCAATGAGATATATCAAATACATCAAAAGATTATCAAACTTTCTCATATGGCTACAAAACACATCTGAAATTATAAAAGCAATTCTCTGCCTTGGGACTATGAATCATGAAGAAATACACAAAAATGCACCTTTCAGACAATTACTATAGCATTTTTGCCTATAATTCTTCATTAACTAAATTGTAATCCAAATAAACCCAATCTTGAAGCATATTCATGGTTTCTCTAGGCAGACACTACTATTCATCACGGCACTTCTTCCTTCAAAGCCAGGGTGAAGCCTCATTATCCT